GGGGGTGCGCGCAGGGCCTGCGTGCCCCGCCGCCGCCGTGGCCGCCCCGGACCTAACTTGCCACCTTGGTCGTTGCAGGAGGACATGGCCGCTCACGTGGGCGCGTCCCGCACGCCGCAGGAAGTGATGGAGCATTACGTAAGCATGTACATCCACGGCAACCTGGGGAGAGCCTGCATCCCCGACACCATCCCCAATCGGGTGACCGACCACACCTGCCCCAGCGGGGGCCCCCTGTCGCCCAGCCTCACCACCCCCTTGCCTCCCCTAGACATCTCGGTGGCCGAGCAGCAGCAGCTGGGCTACATGCCGCTGCGCGACGACTACGAGATCGAGTACGACCAGGACGCCGAGACGCTCATCAGCGGGCTCTCGGTCAACTACGACGACGACGACGTGGAGATCGAGCTCAAGCGCGCGCACGTGGACATGTACGTGCGCAAGCTGCGGGAGCGGCAGCGGCGCAAGAACATCGCGCGCGACTACAACCTGGTGCCCGCCTTCCTGGGCAGGGACAAGAAGGACAAGGACCGCGGCCTCAAGCGCAAGGTCAGCAAGGAGGAGAAGGAGCTGCGGCTGAAGCTGCGGCCGCTCTACCAGTTCATGTCGTGCCGCGAGTTCGACGACCTGTTCGAGAACATGCACAAGGAGAAGATGCTGCGCGCCAAGATCCGCGAGCTGCAGCGCTACCGGCGCAACGGCATCACCAAGATGGAGGAGTCGGCCGAGTACGAGGCGGCGCGGCACAAGCGCGAGAAGCGCAAGGAGAACAAGGCGGCGGCGGGCGCCAAGCGCGGCAAGGAGGACGGCAGGGACGGCGAGTTCGCCGCCATCGAGCACCTGCCGGGCTTCGAGCTGCTGTCGGACCGCGAGAAGGCGCTGTGCAGCGCCCTGGGCCTGAGCCCCGCGCGCTACGTCACCGTCAAGACCATCATCATCCGGGACCACCTGCAGAAGCGCCAGGGGCTGCCGGCCAAGAGCCGCCTGCCCAGCTACCTGGACAAGGTCCTCAAGAGGAGGATCCTGAACTTCCTCACCGAGAGCGGCTGGATCTCCCGCGAGGCCTCCTGAGCCGCAGCCACGCCGCGGCCCCGGCGCCCGCGCCAGCTGCCGCCGGCTCTCCGGCCGCGGTGGCCGCGAGTCCAGGGACGCTGCCCAAGTGTCTGTAAACGCCACGTGGCACCTCGGACTCAGAAGCTGTGTGGCCTTTTCGTCACCGCCCCCCCCTACGAGATTCACTCTCGGGGTCAGGGCACCGGGCACCCCAGCCACCCCGCGACCGCCACACGGGCGCGCCCCACAGGGGAGGACGCCGGCCTGGGCCGCAGGGCC